CCAGAAAGAAGGCTACACACATGGACATCACCAGACAGTCAACACAAAAATCAAATATATAATGGGAAGTAAAAGATGGTGGAACTCTATACTGGTGGCCAAGACTAGACTAGGTGCAGACTGTGGCACAGATCATGAATTACTCATAACAAAAATAAGAGTAAGACTCAAGAAGAAAACAGAACCAGTGATTATACCAAAATATGATCTAAATAATATCTCAACAGAATTTACTAACATAAGAAACAAATTTCCATTACTAAGCATAATAGACTGAGAACCAGAGGAACTATGGTCTGAAGCCAGGGACATAATAAAAGAATGCAGACAGACACTTTCAATAAACAAAAAGAATGAGACAAAACCATTGATGACAGAAAAAACACTACAAGCAATAAAGAAAAGAAGAGAAGAAAAAAAGGAGATAAGAACAAAGTAAGGATTATGAATGCAACAGTACAACGGCTTGTGCGGAAAGATAAAGAAAATTACTACAACAACCAATGCAGAGAAATAGAAGACAACAACGAAAAGAGAAGAACAAGAAATCTATTTCAATCAGCCTGTGCTTTATAGACTATAGCAGGGACAGGCAACCTTTTTGAGACCTGGGCCGGTCTCCCGTAGCCCAGGTCTTGGCTGGGCCAAGGGGGGGGGGGGAATGGCGGCGCGCGCGCTCACACGCTCGCGTGCACCCTCCTCTTCCGCGTGCGACCCCCTGTGCATGCGGCCACCATGGCTGCTACCGCGGCTGCCACCGTAGCGCACACCACCACAGCCGCCACGCCACATGTCGCAGCCGCCATTTTGGAAGTCACAATGGTGGCTGCGACGCGTTTGTGCATGCGCAAGAGTACTGCGCATGCGCAAACGCATCGCGACCGCCATTTTGACTTCCAAAATGGCAGCTGCGACATGCACCACCAAAAACGCGCCCCGACGGCGGTGCGCGGCAGCGGCTACAACCTTCGGCCTGGGCCGGTAAGTCCGGGGCCTGGGGCCTTAACCGGCCCCCGGGCCATAGGTTGCCGATCTCTGGACTATGGCAAAACTTTTGACTGCACAGATCATGAAAGGCTATGGAATACCCTTAAAGACATGGGAGTGCCAGACCACCTGATAGTCCTTATGAGAAATCTGTACTCAGGACAAGAGGCTACTGTC